GAGGGAAGAGGGAAGAGGGAAGAGGGAAGAGGGAAGAGGGAAGAGGGAAGAGGGAAGAGGGAAGAGGGAAGAGGGAAGAGGGAAGAGGGAAGAGGGAAGACGGAAGAGGAGGGAAGAGGGAAAAGGGAAGAGGGAAGAGAGAGGAGGGGAGGGAGGATGGGGGAAGGGAAGGGGGCAAAGGGAAGGGGGCAAAGGGAAGAGGGGAGAGGGAAGAGGGAAGAGGGAAGAGGGGAGAGGGAAGAGGGAGGAGGGAAGAGGGAAGAGGGAAGAGGGACGGAGGGAGGAGGGGGAAGAGGGGAAGAGGGAAGAGGGAAGCAGGGGGAGGGAGGCGGAGGGAAGAGGGATGGATTATTGAGCGCGCCCAAAAATACAGTGTCTTAATTACCTTTTGATTCTGTTTTAATTACGTGTCAAGTCTTGGGCGCGCACGGCGCCCACACACAGGCTGGAGTTAACACAGAGTTGCCGCAGAGTGGACACAGAGGTACGGCAGAGTGAGCACCGCATGCGCCCAGTAAAGAACACACACTTTGGGGAGCACACACTGCATACATCGATGACTTTGAAAATCATTTTTGTTGCAACATATACAGCAACGCTGAAGAATTCTGACATCTGACTTCATCACGGACTCATCCTCCGGTTGTGCAAAATGAGGTTTGAAAGTAAGTGCCATGCAAAGTTTTGGCAAGGCAATGTGATTATGAGATGCACAAGTTGCCCAATGCCCAATCCCGAGAAATTTCACTCCAAGAAAGAGCTCTCTCGCGCAAACGGCCAGTGCCAGCAGTGCTTGGCCCTGGCGACGGTCCTCTCCACCCCCCTGTCGCGCGAGGGCGCCCTTGTTGGGTCAATGGCTGAACGAAGCTCCGTCACACCGTGAGACGTGGCAGTGTGATGTCAGACATGCGTGCCCAGATTGTCCAATCATAACCGTTTCCGTGCTGCTAGCAATACGGGCATTATCTAATATGTTTCGGAAAAGTAAACATGAAACAGGATGCATTTTTCTGGATACATATATATATATATAGACACATTCGTCTCGTCTCCGATACTATTATTTCGGACAACATCAAGCAACATAATATATTTGTGTGAAAACAAGTGTTCCGAAATTCGGAGCAAAATTCCCCTACGCAGAGGTAGTCCGACAGGATGGAATGCACGGACCCTCGTGCATCTGACAGATCGCCGAGCTGCCGCAGCTTCTTTGGGGGGTTGTGGGATCTGGTATCTTTGTCTGAAATGGTACACGGGCAGAGACAGAAGCCGTATACCGACACATCACAGAAAGAGTCCAAGTCTATATAATTGTTTTTGTTTGTTGGGTTCTTTTTAGTGGTACACACCAGCCATAGATGTGGATTTTGGACCTAAAACAACACCCTGAACCATGGGATCACATTCCTGCGCCCTGCACCGCGGAGCCAACTTCCTGTGGCCCTGAAGCAACTGCTGGTTCGGTCAGCGGTCTGAATGGGGAAGCTGGAAAGATCATGTAGCTGAGTAGCACTCTTGTTGAGCTGAGAACAAGGAAAAACTGAATGAGTGTGATATAAACCACCTTCTCCGTGCCGCTGAAAGAGACACGCTTGGTCTCTTAAAAAAAGGCCTCTCAGAGCGGCGCGAACGCATGCTCTCAGAGGCTGAAGTACTTCTGAAGAAATCTCCTGGCCCCATCTGTTTGCAGCGCCCCCAGCAATGCAAAAGGAACGACAACAGCGGCCCAACAGGCCATCTTTCAAAGGAGTTGTTACAGGCTTGCAACATTGATTAGAAAATCACATCGAAAAGCAAGAAAAGGAGCCTGGAAAGCATAGCCAAAAACGAGCTTCCGGACTAGAACGCCAAGTCCCGCTAGGCCCGTAGTCAGTAAGCCTACCCTCCCGCGCGCCCGCGCAAGCTGTCCGAAGCATGCAATCCATCCACGTGCTCAACAGCACAAAGCTGCAGTGCGCGGAAAAGAGGCAAGTTCCTGAGTGCAAGGGAAGCTGACTTGCTGACGTCGAACGTTGTCGCACGCAAGACTTGCTTCCGCTATGGGTGTGTGGCAATGACTCCTAAGGAGAAAAACGTCTGAAAAGGTAATAATGGTAATATGCCTATACTGCAGAAGGGCAAACATCGTGGAATGAGAGGAAGATTATGATCTGTTTTGGCTCTTCCGCACCCGCGCGCAGGCTACACGGCACTGAATTATCAAGATAGTAACAATGCATACTGTGGGGCAACGTGGTAGACCACCTATGGGAGCAGTACCCACATATACATGTTAACTGGAATGGGCAAACGCTGGGATGGGATGCACCAGAGTTTCAACAGAAGCCTCACGCAACTCCACAGCGCGTAACGCACGTTGTCAGCTTGTCTTGGATACGCTGATGGCATGAATTAGACAGCTCACGCAAATGTCATTGGGTTGAGTTGTAATTTCATTAGCTTCGACACGTCACAATCTTGCGCGGCTTTGCGACGGAAGATGTGCTTCGGTGGTCCGCATCCTCTCTCAGTTTCATGATCACCGAGTCCCTGTCGGTGGCGCGAGGTGTGTCGCTCAGAAGTCATGCGCATGTTTGAAATCTAATGCAATGTAAAGCTGACAGGAAAGCCAACGCGTGACTGAATAGAATACATGCAGGAATTGCCCACCTCAGCTGTGGCAATGCAACACATTGCTTCCCATCTGTCTCGGTCCACAACCGCCGGAGGAATGTGGAGGCGTCTCAGGTCTGACAGCTCGATGCACTGCTTGCTACTGCGACGAATGAGCCAGATCATGAGGTCGAGGTCACACAGCGAATCCACCTTGGTGTTGGCATGAGTTGCACGTTTGCCAGCCTCGCAAACCGGACATGCACACCAAGCCTCAGCCCAGTCAGCGTGATAAATGACAATCAAAATTGGAATGGCACAAGCACTGCCAGAGGCGGTCTATGTGCGTCCTCAGCAGACTTTAAAAAAACGATGTGCAGCTTTGCAGGGTGGGTGGAAATGAGACAAGGCACTGCAAGGCAACAATGAATCTCATGGATGACCGAATGGCAGCCGTTCCAATCGATGCCCAAGCGCCTGTGAATCTGGCGTCCAACAGGTTGGGTACTCTGCTGCCAACCAAGCAGATCCCTCAGGCTTGAATTCGCAAAGGTCTGCAACAGAGCGACGAAACTGGCCATAGCGACAGGCTTCACGCATGGCATGGGCAGCAAATGCATAGGAGGGCGCCCACTGGCCAACTTTACCTGCAACAGCACAAACGCATCGTTGGTGGACACGCAAGGCTTACGCGCCCCCGCACTAACGCAGCCCAGATGCTGAAGTTGTTTCGCGAGTCGTCCGGAAAGCCCTGGAGTTTGCATTTCTGGATCATGTCGTGGAGGAGCCTGTAGTACGGGATTGAGAGCTCATTCATCCGGACCGACAAGCACGATGCCCTGGGTCCGTAGGCGCGCAAGACTATTTCCAGGAGCTCCACGAAGAAGTCTAGTACAGCGCTGTCGTCAGCTTCATCGTCATAGAACAAAGGCTCGTCACGGCCTGAAGCAAAGCCGTGCTCGAAATGAAAAAACGGTCTACAGATTGCACGTGAGGCAATGGCCAGAAACCTGGCGCAGCCAAGCGGCTGTATGTGAATATGAAGCCCTGTGCCCAACCAATGGATAAGTGCTTCACAATCGGCACCAGAAAAGATCGCGCCGCCGGGAACTGACTCAAGAAAACCATGGCGACCTGTGTGGCTGGTAGATCCTTTTTGCGCTTCAATAGCATTCGCTCAGGCGGAGCGCCTGTTCGGAAGGGCAGCAGCAGCTGAGGCTTGAGGTGTTGGCTTTTGTTGACATCTCCTTTCGTGGCCATGCTGAGCGGAAAGAAGCTGGAAGCCTCGTCCACCAGGATGCCCAAATATCCATCGTTCTGCAAGAGCTGTTCGCAAGCCTTGGCTGTGGAACCACCGCTGAAGCTGTAACCAGCCGGCGTGTCTGCCAAAAGATAGGGAAACAGGTCCCGGAGCCATTTGTAGACCCCACTATGCAAAAAGGTGTCAAGGCATGGGCTCTTTTTGCTCCCTGGTTCGGCGCACGCATATGTTGGCAGTCTTGGACGGATCCTCTGCCGCGGTCTCTTTGGGTTGTGGCTGACAGTCAGGTCGATATGCGCTTGCCAACATAAGGTTGTAATGAAAATAGACCACGTCAACTTTGCGTTGAGGCCGCCGATCTTCTCTAAAATATACAAAGCCACAGCGATGGGAAAAGGAACAAGGGCATAGTCGAAAGGCAGGAGCGCTGCCTGTTCCATGAATAGGTCTGGAAGCTCGTTCGTGCAAAGCATGCAGCTGTGGCAGAACTCCACTTCCTTCTCGAAGAGTGCTACATCTTTTGGCTCGTCTCCGAGCGGCAAAGCAAAGAGGTCGTCTGCAGTGATGCTCCCATTTCCTCGCAGCCGTGACAGGAGAGGCTCCGCAGCCTTTTGCACGGCTGAAGTCAGTGTGTGAACGCCATAGAAGTGGAGGATGTTCTCATCGATGTCCGGTCGCTTCTTTGCCTCTGCTAGAGAGCGAGTGACAAGAAGGAGAAGCGCAGTAGCCACTGGGATAAATCAAAAGGCACCTTGTCCTCGGAGACAGGCGGCAGCTCCTCGGCATGTGAGCGCAGCTGCGTGGCAGGTACACGCGCCCGGTAAGTGCAATGTGTAACACATACTTAAACGCAGCAGCCTCATTACGGCGAAAATGCTAGCAGCTACCTTGACAAAAAGGATTTGAGAGACAGGACATTGACCTGAAACTGAGGTCATCACAGGCACCTTGTTCTCAGAGACAGATGGATGGTTCTCGGCCTGTGAGCTCCACGTGGCTGCAATGGTGGCTCTAGGCATGCACAGGAACATGAAACAGCAACACGTTCCAGAAAGAGAAGAAAGATCACTCCGACGCTGCCCACGCAACGCGCCTTGGTCTCGGCGAGGTGCACAATGCTATTGGCCTGTAAATTCAAGTTGGGAGCAAGTGACATGAGGTGGAGAAGGGCATGGAAAGAAGCAAAGACAGACTTCCACCTCACCTCTCACAGCTCTTTTGCTCGATTTGAGCACTCTGCGGGTAGCCAAGTTGCGTGGAGACTGCCCGGCGTAGCGGCAGCCTAATGCAGCATGCTTGGAAATGGAAATGGGCCCCTTGAGAGGACAGAGTGCTTGAGGGCTTCACCTGAGACAGTGTAGTTGGTGGATGAGGGTCGATGTCGGTCTCCAGTACGTCCTGCGCAGAGGTCTACACTTTTCTTCCGTGTTCCATGTCATCATGCCCAACCATGGTGGGAGGCTATGTCATCCATTCCTCATCTAGATCAAGATCCACGTCAATGGTCCCCGCGGCCAGGGCACGCCAGCAGCGGTCTGCAAAACCTGGATGGGAGAACCGAAAGTTGAAAGACCGCCACTGCGTGCAAGTGATGCTGAGGCTCCAGCCTGTCACAGCGTCGTTCTCCTTACAATCGTCCTGCAGGGGCTGGTGGTGAATGAGAAACACGACTGAGCTTCCCAGTGGAACGGTCCTGATCGAAGTCGAGACTGCGGGGCGTGGCCGCCCGATGCACGGAACGGCAAGCCCGTTGCGCCGGCGTGCCCGCAAGAGTAGCAAAACTTTGCTGGGGTGGTGAGGGCTGTGGCGCAATGAGCACAGACCAGCATCCAGCAGCAGTGTAACGCTGTGAAGAAAAGAGACTTGCGTGGTCATGCATGTTATGTAGCATCGTGGCGCGCATGCGGCTTGGCTTGATCACTGCGCAGTATCTAGAGTGAATGGTTACTTGATCTGTTCATGGCTGTCTGAGGCATGCACGTGGAGATGTGTATTAATACACTGTGGGCCACTGACACTCGCAGTGCGAAAAAAAATTCAAAAAAGGGAATGTCAAGTGATGGTGACGCGGACTTGGAACGCAACCATGGTCTGGGGCCACACGCCACAAACTGAAGCGGTAGAGCGTGGAACCTGGCGACGTCGAGTCAATCAGAAAAGCTTCACGCGTGTGGTACACATGCACGGCGAAATAATGTTTGTGCGGAGAATGACTGATTCAAAAGCTGCTGGTAAACGCAGCTGCCATGCGCGGCCACGTCATTTTGCGTGCTTTGCATGAGGTAGGTGTGAGACTTGCGGTCAATGCCTCACCCCCTTTCCGAACTTGCCACGATGGCAGGATGCTGGGTCAGCTTGGCCCCGCACTCTGAGCAGAATTGGCCTTTCCTGCTCGCTTTGCAAGTGGAACACCATTGTAAGGAAATAGGCCGTGCATCCGTCAGCTTTTCCCCACATTGACCACAAAAGGGTCCGCGACGCTTTGCGTGACACTTGGGGCAGCAGCCAAGAGGTGACTGCTGAGACTGCATGGGTGGAGGCTGAATGGTCCCGGTCAAAGAGTGCCCCTCAATGCGAACTTCAGGCCGCAACATCCCTGAGTCCCACTGCAGGAAAGTAGCAGGTTGCGCGAGTGCCAGGGGTGAGGTCGTCGCCTGCAGAGCGGTCATATTGCATCCATGCTGTTCGAGCAATTCCATTGAAGCATGAGGGAGCGTCCAGGCCGACCAGCTTTCTTCATTGAAGATGAGCATCAACTTGGCAAAAGGGAATTGGTTCTGAAGGTGGTACTGCATGCAAACATCTGTGGCTGAAGGCTCGCGTGTGGGTATGAGGCGAACCTGATGATGCGAGTGGGACCACCCCAAGCACACTTTGTTGCCTGCCCGAAACTGCTCGTTGGCTTCGGCCCACTGAGCATGTCCCGCCGGTGTCACTTCGCACGCGCAGACCGTGGACCAATGCTCCACCTGCAAACAAAAACAGCGAGTGGGAGCGGCAGCAGAATGTGCAGAACGTGGATTTCGCGCACTTGGAATGAGATGTGGTATGTGCTTGAAATGGTGCTACAGTTTAATGCAATGGTACATAGAACCTAGTGGCTCTGTACTCCGGGCCTGCAAAATGTCGGTGAGGACGTGGGCCGTATGCGGTGCAGCGGCCAACCTCCCACCATACAGCAGTAGCAGCGTCTCCACGCCCGCCGTGTCATTTGCACGGAAGAGCTCGCGCATGGTCTGGATGGCACCCATGTGAATGCGGACATCTGCATACCCCTCTTGGCCCGCGTTCCTCTGAGCTCCGATCGTGCGGTGCAGCTGTGCGCCGCCTTCATCAATGCGCACAAAGGAGTCTAGGAGACTGCGTGTGTCCACAGCTCTGCTTGCAATCTTGGGATTGTCGTGGGCTGAGAGCGATTGCAAAAGTTGACCCAGCCCTTCCTTTGCAAGGACATCGCGCCAGCGAAACCCAGCTGGCTGCTCCTTCGTGATCCTCCGACACGCTGCACGCAGCTTCTCCAGCAAGCCACTCGTTGTTTGTGGGGGCAGGTGCGGCTGCGCAAGCTTCTGGGTATAGCTGCGTACCTCTTCCAATGCTGTGCGCAAAGCCTGCAAGCGCTGCGCCTCCATATCAACTTCAAAGTGATCACCCAGCTGCGAGCTGCGTGGATCGGGAGGGCTCTGCGCAATGATCTCCGACTCATCTGGTCTTTGCCTCTTGCCACACAGACCTGGCGTGTACGCAACAGCAACGCACCACGTCTTAGAGTATTTAGTGTGTGGTTGAAAATGTGTTGCAGTGGGTGTGAGGTGAAGGCGTGGTAAAAGTTAAAAGGTATGAAGGATCTATCAACACACCGGCCTGGTGCAGGTGCCCTGGCGTCGCAAGACTCGTCCTGGTTCCACATGCGCACTGCAGCATGATGTGAGCAACAGCGCCTCGTTCGGAACCACCAACACGTGCACGATGCGTTGTGACACGCCGGGATGGCAGGGTCCAAGCTCCATTGCACCACAGCATACTTCTCAAAGAAATGTGTGTAGCGCTGAACATCAATGACACTCTCACGTGGCGTCTGTTCGTCTGGCAAGGCAGGTCGGAGAATTCCAGCGCGGCGCCAAAACTGTTCATGCCGGTCGGTCTGCAGAGGCAACTGCAGAGCATCAATGAGGACACGAGCATCCGTCTCCGAGACTTCTTTTCCCTTGACAACATCACGACACCACTGGTGCATGACATAAAATCTGAAGCCCTGTTGATGCAAAACAACTTGCGCCACTTGACCCTGTTTTGCGTAGTGCGCAACGGAAGGGTAGCCAAAATAGCGCTGAACTGCTTCATTGGGATGCAGCAAGCTGTCAGGCACACGTGGGTGGAATTCCGTGGCCGTCTCCTGTTCATACTTGGCATTGCTAAGCTCCGAGCGGAAAACGTGGTTCATATGTTGGAGGAAGGTCTCGATGCCGGGCAAGCTTGAAGCAGTCACATTGCGAGTGTCCAGCTCTGCCTTTGCTTTCATTAAACGTCGCTTGAGAGCTCGGTTGTATGACTCCACCGAGTTGGTGTCCGCACCAAATGCCAGCGTAGCAAGAAACTTGTGGTGCCAGGTGGCGTAATACATGCCAGAGTCAGTGCGACGGAGATACTCCTTCTCAAAGTAGGCCGCCCACTCCTGAGACATGCAATGAGTTTTGAATTGACGACAGCAAAACTTAATTGAAACATGGGTGTCAACGATCAGACAGTGACAACGATCAGCTTTCCGTCGACAGATACAAGGCAAACAAGAACTTGGGCAGAGTGCGATCAAGTTTCTTCTTCAGCGTCTTCATGTCTTGCGCGGGCCAGCAAGTGAAAACACAGGAAATCAAAGATCATTGGCGTCCACGCTGTCTGCATGAGGGTGATGTATCTCCTGAATATCTTGGCAGAGTGGTGGCAGCGAAGCTTCTTCCAGCCACTGTAGCCAGCCATGGTTGCATTCCTGCGGCAGTGCTCGCCGCACTCGCGAACTTCAGGCTGCCCCTCGCATAAGCGTAGCAGTCCTGGGGTCAGCAGGCAACATGCGAAAAAAGTGTGACACTAGCCTTTATCGTCCAAAGGGCTGTGGAAACCACAGCCTTTCTTCAGGGTCCGGTCTTGTGCAGCCCTAGGCCACCAAATACCTGAGGGGTATATTCATAACATATACTAGTCATTGCCTCACAATGAAGATGGAAAGAACACATTCCCATCACAGTTTTTGCGTGACCCACACAGCTTTCATGGTTGAGGGATTTCACGGTTACATCACGGTTACCTCACGGCCTTTACTGGTATTTGGGGGGCTTATGTGGTTTTTGAGGTGCGTGTTCACTGGTACATCACGCTCACTTCACGGTCCCGGGCTCTGACCTCAATTGTTATGGAGAAGAATTATAGAGAAGAAGAATTTGGATGGTCTCCTAAGCACTCAATTTGGAATAATTATGTCAGCGGTAGCTGGGAGGCCTTTGATATGCTGTTTTGGGAAAGTAGCACCGGGGCTGCGAATTCCGGAGCCGAGGAAGACCAAGGTAGGCGATGCAAGTTAGCATGTCGGTGAAGCCCGCAACCTGGCCTCGTCGTGGAGCTTCTGCAAAATCGGTGACAACCATGCAGCACGTACGGAGCTTCGCTGCCAGGGCTGGCTTGGCTTGCGCGAGAT